AAAATTTATTTATAATTATTTGTTAAATTTAAAAGTTTTTTAAATTTTTCTTAGCGCAAGCAACCAGCGCTTTAAAAATAAGATTTAAATTTTGTTAATTAATAACAAAATAGTATGAAAAAAAAATGTTTTTTGTTTTTGTTTTTGTTTTTGTTTTTTTTTTTTTTTTGGAGAAAAATTTTAAAAAAATTGAAAATTAATAATCAATTTTGTAATTATATAATATTGAAATTTTTTTTTTTTTAAGAAAAATATTTTCGATATTGTTATTATATTAATACAATGGCTAGTTTATGCAAGGAACAACAAAATTATTGGAAGTATTATAGAAAATTTCATATTTTGATTTAAAAATTTCACATTTTAAATTTGACATTTTGAATTCTTTAGGATATCCTAGAAAATATTAAAAAAGCATTTCAAGATATTGTTGAAGAAATAGATTGGATGGATAATAGTACTAAGAAAGCTGCTTTACAAAAGGTTTTTATTTTATAATTATAATTAATTCTAACATAAATTATAATTTAAATTTTTACATTTTAAAATTTTACATTTAATTTCAAACTTTTATTTAATTGATTACTTCAAAAGTAATATTAGGTAAGGTAATATTTGATAGAAATAGAAAACTTTATTCAATTCAAGAGTGCAATATATTTAAAGCCAAGATTGCTAATTAAAATTATTTTAAATTATCAAGAAAGAAGATAAGTTGAAAGTAAAAATCAAAATTAAATTATTGATTTCTTCAGTCTAATTCATCCTATCATCTATTATCGTTAATTTGAAATAGATTATTTGGCTAGTAACTGTCTTTTCGGCTTGTTTGATACTCTTCTATAGCATCCTATTGCAATGAACATTATTATTGAATTAATTTTTTAGTTAATTCATATTCTGATTTACAAAAAATAATTGATTAACATTTTTAGGTTGCTGCTATCACCAACAAAATTGGTTATCATGATATGATAATGAATGATACAGCACTAACTGAATATTACAAAAAGGTTATTACAAGCATAAATCTTATAAATATTTATATTTTGCGAACATGATAAATCTATTATTATTATTATTGTTATTATTATTATTATTATTATTACTATTATTATTATTATTATTATTATTATTATTATTATTATTATTATTATTATTATTATTATTATTATTATTATTATTATTATTATTATTATTATTATTATTATTATTATTATCATTATTATTATTATTATTATTATTATTATTATTATTATTATCATTATTATTATTATTATTATTATTATTATTATTATTATTATTATTATTATTATTATCATTATTATTATTATTATTATTAATACTATTATTACTATTATTATTATTATTATTACTATTATTATTATTATTATTACTATTATTATTATTATTATTATTATTATTATTATTATTATTATTATTATTATTATTATTTATTATTTTTATTTATTGTTATTATTATTATTGTTGTTATTATTATAAATCGACAATATATTTAAATAGTTAAGTTTTTTTCGTAAAAACTACAAATACTTAAAATTGAGGAATATTTAATGATTATTGTAATTAGCTGCTATTCAAGTTTCAAAGATCAAAAATAGTAGGAGAGTATGAATTTAAAAATGAAAATAAAATGAACAATTAAAATTAATGAAATCTATTTCAAATCTCTTTTAAAATAAATTTAAAACTTATTGTTTGCTTGGCAAGAAAATGAGGAAAAAAAATTAGTGTTTTAATGTGATATTTCAAATATTCCAAAATAAAATCAAATATTTATTGAAGTAATTTTTATTTTCTCATTTCATTAATAATTATTTTTTAATTTTTTTTATGCATTCATTTTTTTAACCGAAATTTTATTTCTATTATTTTCAATTATTTTATTTTATTATTTGCCAATCTATTAAATATACATAAAATCTCTTTCATTTATTCTATTTTTCTATCACATTTTTGAAAAAAAAAAACTTTATCAATTAATAAAGTAATTAGGAATTTTTATTATTTTCAGTTAAATATAACCTCGAAAGATAGTTATTTTCAAATTTTACGTAAAATAGCAAAATGGGATGCGGAAAGATATTTTTTACGTCTTAAAAAACCATTCGACAAATATGAATTTGTACAAAGCGCTTCAACTGTTAATGCATTTTTTACATTTCGAATGAATTCACTTAGTAAGTTTTACTCCTTTTTTTTTGTTTTTGTTTTTAATAATATTTATAATTTTATTATTTTTATAATTTATTAATTTTTTTGTTTTTTCATTTTCTTTTTTAATAATTTTATTATTTTTATAATTTATTAATTTTATTAGTTTAAATTGAATCAAAAATATTTTAGCACTGCCAGCTGGTTTCCTTACATCACCATTTTTCAATCGTTACTATCCAAAGTTAGTGCTTTTCATTTTATTTTATTTTTTTTTTTTGCTTCACTTTTAAATATTCAATGTATATTTTTGCTTTCACTATTTTTGGTTTCCACTTTGACCTTTATGTAAATGAAATGACCAAAAATGGATGGTCATTTGGTCATTTTGGTCAATGATAAAATGAGAAATGTCATATTAATAATTTTTTATTTTTGGCTGAATTTTTGATATCATTTAATGATCATTTCAAAATTAATTAAATATTCCAGGGTTTTTTTTTTTTTTTTGTGATCAATATAAGATTAATGCTGCTAACTTTTTAAGCTAATAAATTTTAAGCTTATATTTATGTTTTTTTTTTTCATAGAAGTGTTTAGAAGGATTTTTTTTTTGATAAATTTAATTTGTAAAATTAAGAAATTTAAATTTCAATTTCTATCGCTATTAATAAATTATAATTATTTTTTTTAAAGAGCAGCAAATTATGGTGCATTAGGTACAGTGATGGGTCATGAATTAACACATGGCTTTGATGATGATGGTTTGATTTCATTTTAATAATTTTTTTTTTTTGACACTTATTCATTTCATCATTTTAATAAAATTTTTAATTTTTTAATTTTCAACAAAAAGCTAACAAATTTTTTTTTACTTAATTAAAAAAAAATTTTATTATAAAAATTTGCATTTAAACATTTTATATTAAAACATTCGTTTAACAAATGAATTCTATTTATTAGTATATGTTTAATTGTTACCTAATCAAAATTTTATATGAAATTATCTTTTGCTATAATTAAATTTAATATAATTTAAATGTTTTATGTGCTATTTCCAAGAATTCTATTTGGTGATTTACATTTAAGGAAAATGATTACCATAATCCATCATTAGAGAATTTGTTATTTTAGAAATTAATTTATCAATCGATTAGTATTATCAATAAATTATCAGTAAATTAGATTAGTTTACTTTATGAAATTTCAAATTAAAATATTCAAGAGTTCATAATAATTATACTTTAATGCATTATGTTATCATTTTAGTCTGTCATCAAAGCTTATTTTATTGCTTACCATAATCTATCATTAGAGAATTTGTTACTTTAGGAATTAAATTATCAATCGATTAGTATTATCAATAAATTATCAGTAAATTAGATTAGTTTACTTTATGAAATTTCAAATTAAAATATTCAAGAGTTCATAATAATTATACTTTAATGCATTATGTTATCATTTTAGTCTGTCATCAAAGCTTATTTTATTGCTTACCATAATCTATCATTAGAGAATTTGTTACTTTAGGAATTAAATTATCAATCGATTAGTATTATCAATAAATTATCAGTAAATTAGATTAGTTTACTTTATAAAATTTCAAATCAAAATATTTAAGAGTTCATAATAATTATACTTTAATGCATTATGTTATCAAAGCTTATTTTTCCTTGCAAATAATTAATTTTATATGTAATTATTTTAAAAGATTATTACAGGAAGTCTTTATGATATGAATGGTAATTTGAATAATTGGTGGAGTAAGGAATCGTATAAAAACTTTAGAAATAAAGCGCAATGTTTCATTGAACAATATGACTCATATAAAGTACCAAATACGGATTTTAAAGTAAGAAATGAAGTGACAATGGTATATCCTATGTTTTGCTTAGAATTTCATTTCTCGAAATTGATTAATTTTAATAATGGATAGATCTTTAACTTTGTTAGCAAAAGTAGAAGCAGTAATGTGGTAGTAGTAATTCCGGATAATCGGTTTCAAATGTTTCAGAATTCCTGATGAAGTGGATGCAAACGCTACACTGCTTTTACTATTTTATTTGTTAAATTAAACTTTTTTATTGAAATGAATTGATTTGCTTGCAGGTAAATGGGAAACTTACCTTAGGGGAAAATATCGCTGACAACGGTGGCATTAAACAATCATTTCGGGTAAATACTTTATTCCACGAATAAGATTTCAATTAAAAATTTGACATTTTAGCAATCTTTTAACTAAAAGTCTATTTACAGGCATATAAAAAGTATATCGAGCAAATCGGTCATTCTGCCCATAAACTGCCCGGCATGTCAAAGTTCACCGACGAACAAATATTTTTCCTTTCGTTTGCACAGGTGAACAGAATTCAAATTCAGTATCCTTTTAATTTGACCGATTAATTTTATGTGAATTTAGTAGCTTTCAAAACTGAAAGGTAAAAAGTGAAATTGTTGTCAGGTTTGGTGTGGCCATCAAACGAAAGAAGCCCAAATCAAGCAAGTGCTTACTAATGAACATAGCCCAGCCAAGTATCGTGTCAATGGCCCACTCTCGAATTTACCTGAATTTAGCCAAGCTTTCAATTGTTCATTTGGAAGTTTATTAAATCCTCAGAAGCGTTGTTCTGTTTGGTGACATTTATATTTATTTCATATCATTTATCCAAGTATTCTTAGCTGTTTATCAATATGCAAATTAATTATTTTATTTCTTAACATTTTGTCACTAACAGACAAAGCTAAAAACAGATTTAATCATTTGTAACCATCGATTATCAGAAAGTGATAAGACCAAAAGTCCAAAAATCATATCAATCGTTCATTCATTGAGATTTTTTAATAAATTTAAATGAGCGCTTCACTCTACGTTCATTTAACGGATGTTGAAATCGACAATTTCTGGGGACAATTCGTCGTAATAATTCCAACTGTATGCAAATGTCATTTAATGCTTTATTACTGTCACATAATTTGAAATTAATTAATTTGAAATTAATTAATTAGTAAATTACTTTTGCTAAATTGTTTTATAGTTTTGCTGTTTACCAATAAAAGTTGTAAATATCATAATTAGACACAAAAGGATAGTTTTAATATTGTAAAGATTACCTGTTTAAAACTTATGGTATTGGGATGTTTCAGTACTGTCCAGATGACACACTCATTAAATGGTTTCGTGGTCAGTGACCCCTCGTACGTATAATACGAGTGCTTCACTGTAAACATACGTTAATTAGATTATGGGTTCAAGTAATAAATCATCTACCTTTAATTCATATGACACCTATCACCTGTAAGGTTGGAATTTACCTGGAAGTAATTTGAGTGGATCAAAATTTGGTTCCAAGTTGACACGGCTTAAACAGGCTAATGAACTGCTGAGACCATCGATGATTGGCGAGAAATTTTCATTATCAACTGAGTCTTCCTGAATGAACTTGAAAAAATTCCTGCGTGAAAGAAAAAAGTTCCTTTTTACGGACGTGAAATTCTGAATCCAAATAGCAAAGCTAATTCAATCTTTAAATTACATATTAAACTTGAAAATATTTGACGAAAAGTTGGTCAAAAATTTCTTTTTTCGAGCGAATATATGATATTAACCGCCTTGACATTTGCGCCATTTAATTTATTGATTATTGACTGTTAGTTAATCAAATGGAAATAATAATATAAACAAACAGAATAAAAGAATGTTAACGAACTTGCAAAAAAATAGCCAAAACTGTTAATCCATCACATTTGTTTAAACATTTGTTAAATTCGTTATATTTTTTGTTCCAAAAAACGAAATGTAGCTGTAAAGGTCAAAGGTTAGGTCAATTTGATGTCATTAAATAGAGGTAAATATTGAAATTCGTAGTGTTTCACTTTTTTAAAAAATTTAAATTATTGTTTAACCTCGGCGGAAAAGCCTTTTCCATTAATTAAATGTTCACTGCCGCAATCTTTTTCTGTTCCCCAATGAGCGTGGAATTCCCAAAGTTTGTAAACATCCGGAAGATGTGACGCAGTTAATTCTGAAATTTAAAATATTCTCTCATTCATTTATTCTTCCGGAATTTGTTGAATTAACGGCTCATTTCTATTTTTTGTTTTTTTCTTTACAATTCTTCAAGAATTACTATTTTTTAAATGTGAAATTGAATTAAAATTTACCTGAAGTACATCCGTTATCAGTTTTACATGAAAAACCTTCGCCGGTGACCTGAAATAATGCAATCAATTTTGTTTGTACAATACTATGTTTAATAGTAATTTGCAATTCGTTAATTAAAGTTAGAATTTCAATCCATCATTTCACTTCGATTGTTTTCAAATCGCCGATCGTATAGGAAAATTGAAGTTTCGATGCTTTCAACATGCTATCCTGATCAGTTATTTCATTTGTAATATCTATTGGACTTTGCTTCTTCCGTGCTTTATTTCCATCTGAAATAAAATAATATTTTCAGTAATTGACTGTGCAAAGTTATAAGTAATTCAGGTTGACAGTAAGACATACTGGAATTACTGGCAAAGATAACCTAAAGAAATTAAAATGATATTTTAAAAGGATCCACTCTCTTATAAGTAATTAAATTAGACTTAAAATCCAATTAATTAAAACTGTATTCTAAATTATATTTTGTTATCAGTTCTATATACCTGTAATTAAGCTACATACCTGTAATTAACTTTTTATTTCTGAATTTTTTTAGTGTTTTAGTTGAATCGGTAGTGGCCATTGCGATTTTTACCGAATCTAAAATTTGCAAAAAAATTACGCCAATCAGTTTTAATCAATTTCGACAGTCTTTTTTTTATTCTGATAAGCGAATTTATACAAAAGTATCTTCTAAATTTTATTTTCTAATCTTTGATAACATAACTGATTGTGCATTAAATATTCTATTTTAATTTGAATTTGAACTTTTAGAAATTTTGCTATCATAGTTATTAAAATTAATTCAATTTTTACAAATGGAATAAAACAAAATTATCGTTTCGTTTTAGACAAAAAAAATAAAAAATTTAAAAAAAAAAGAAAAATGAAAAGGAAAGAAAAAGAAGAAAATGAATTGATTAGAATAATAGCAATTTTCTGATTATGTGACAATTTCCATAGTAATAAATTAGTTTATTATAATAAATTTTATTGCAAAAAGTAGAAAATACATTTTTCTATTCTTTTGCTTATTTATTGAGTTTCTTTCTTTTTTTTTTTTGAATGCAAATTTTTTTTATGCTTAATCTATTAAAGTTTTAAATTTTCTAAAAGTTTTTGAATTTCTGAAAATCATTGAAATTTTTAACTTTTATTAGAGTTAGTCAATTTTTTTTTGCTATTTCTGCAATTCTTGAATTTTTCCACCTATTTTAGCATGCTGGATATGGTTTTTCTTTAGAAATATTTTACAAAATGTACATTTAAATTACTTTAGAAATATTTTACAAAATGTACATTTAAATTACTTTAGATATATTATACAAAATATACATTTAAATTACTTTAGAAATATTTTACAAAATGTACATTTAAATTACTTTAGAAATATTTTACAAAATGTACATTTAAATTACTTTAGAAATATTTTACAAAATGTACATTTAAATTACTTTAGAAATATTTTACAAAATGTACATTTAAATTACTTTAGAAAATGAATGATAAACATTTACGCAATATAAATTTGAGGTATGACTTATTAAACTTATTAAACTAATCTAAAATAGCAATTAGACAAATTTAAGCAATTTAAGAAATATATTTAAAGAATCGATGGTCATCGTTTTCATGACTTTCCGGTATCTAACTTAACAAAATTTTTAAAGTTATTTAAAGTAAAATTTTTAAAGTTAAAAAATTATTCAGTGTTTACTTCATTCCTTAATATTTTCGATGATTAAATAAAACTTCATTATTTGCAATGCTAATCAGTAAATGATAGTGCAAAAGTGATAGTAACTCAAATTCATAATCAGTAATCAGTTATCACTAAATAATTTTTAAGCTCTCATTGCTAATACGTATTGTCTTTCTTTTGCTATAATATTTGTTTTGATGCAATAACTTTAAATTTGTTAATTTGTTTATTTTAAATTTAAAAAATTTTTTATTTTAAATTTATTAATTTTTTATTTTAAATAATGAAGAAGTTGTGAAAATGTTATTCGCTAATAATTATAATACAAAACAAATTAAACATTACAATTATGTTTATAAATTTGTAATATTTACTTACGAATATGAGATGAGGAATACAATTAATAAAAAATATTTTAAAAAAAAGAAAAGAGAATTGGTTATGGCCATTATGCGACAACGTTACTTAGTACTGTATTTCTACTCTGATAAATGGCCTAAGATTGTAATTAGGCCAAAAAAGGCCAATAATTTTTGTTTTTATATTTTAGGTAAATAACAGATCATTTCCAGTATTATTATAATAAACTTAACAATATGTCTTGTCTTGAAACTTATATGAAAATCATGCTAAGCTGACAGATAATTTATTGAACTTAAAAAGTTTTAAAAATTTAGAAAATGTAAACCAATGTTACAATTTGTAAAAATTATTAATTAATTACTTTTGGGTGATGTTTTAATTTACTAAAATTAAAACATAACTGATTTCCTTGTATAGCCAAATAGTAAACAAAAACAAATTATATTATCTACAATAAGAAGTTAACTTGTAGAAAGATGAAGCGAACAAAGAGCATTGATCTTTGTTTACAATTCATTTGAAAGGTAAATAGAAGACAAATGGTAAGATAATGTTTAGTTTTATGAGGGATAAATGCAAATTTTATTTGATACAATTTGTAAGTTATTTAGAGATTCGTAAAATTTATTTTGAATTTCATGACAGAAGGATTTGTGTCACCTGAAATTTTAAATTTCTTAAAGTGGTTTGAATTATTACAATATTTACTATCACAATAATATTGTTGTAAAAGAATTGTTGTTTCAAATAAATTTCTTAAAGTGGTTTGAATTATCGAAATATTTACTATCACAATAATATTGCTGTAAAAGAATTGTTGTTTCAATAAATTTCTTAAAGTGGTTTGAATTATCGAAATATTTACTATAACAATAATATTGCTGTAAAAGAATTGTTGTTTCAATAAATTTCTTAAAGTGGTTTGAATTATCGAAATATTTACTATAACAATAATATTGCTGTAAAAGAATTGTTGTTTCAATAAATTTCTTAAAGTGGTTTGAATTATCGAAATATTTACTATCACAATAATATTGCTGTAAAAGAATTGTTGTTTCAATAAATTTCTTAAAGTGGTTTGAATTATCGAAATATTTACTATCACAATAATATTGCTGTAAAAGAATTGTTGTTTCAATAAATTTCTTAAAGTGGTTTGAATTATTGCAATATTTACTATAACAATAATATTGCTGTAAAAGAATTGTTGTTTCAATAAATTTCTTAAAGTGGTTTGAATTATCGAAATATTTACTATCACAATAATATTGCTGTAAAAGAATTGTTGTTTCAATAAATTTCTTAAAGTGGTTTGAATTATCGAAATATTTACTATAACAATAATATTGCTGTAAAAGAATTGTTGTTTCAATAAATTTCTTAAAGTGGTTTGAATTATCGAAATATTTACTATAACAATAATATTGCTGTAAAAGAATTGTTGTTTCAATAAATTTCTTAAAGTGGTTTGAATTATCGAAATATTTACTATAACAATAATATTGCTGTAAAAGAATTGTTGTTTCAATAAATTTCTTAAAGTGGTTTGAATTATCGAAATATTTACTATCACAATAATATTGCTGTAAAAGAATTGTTGTTTCAATAAATTTCTTAAAGTGGTTTGAATTATCGAAATATTTACTATAACAATAATATTGCTGTAAAAGAATTGTTGTTTCAATAAATTTCTTAAAGTGGTTTGAATTATCGAAATATTTACTATAACAATAATATTGCTGTAAAAGAATTGTTGTTTCAATAAATTTCTTAAAGTGGTTTGAATTATCGAAATATTTACTATAACAATAATATTGCTGTAAAAGAATTGTTGTTTCAATAAATTTCTTAAAGTGGTTTGAATTATCGAAATATTTACTATCACAATAATATTGCTGTAAAAGAATTGTTGTTTCAATAAATTTCTTAAAGTGGTTTGAATTATCGAAATATTTACTATAACAATAATATTGCTGTAAAAGAATTGTTGTTTCAATAAATTTCTTAAAGTGGTTTGAATTATCGAAATATTTACTATAACAATAATATTGCTGTAAAAGAATTGTTGTTTCAATAAATTTCTTAAAGTGGTTTGAATTATCGAAATATTTACTATCACAATAATATTGCTGTAAAAGAATTGTTGTTTCAATAAATTTCTTAAAGTGGTTTGAATTATCGAAATATTTACTATAACAATAATATTGCTGTAAAAGAATTGTTGTTTCAATAAATTTCTTAAAGTGGTTTGAATTATCGAAATATTTACTATAACAATAATATTGCTGTAAAAGAATTGTTGTTTCAATAAATTTCTTAAAGTGGTTTGAATTATCGAAATATTTACTATCACAATAATATTGCTGTAAAAGAATTGTTGTTTCAATAAATTTCTTAAAGTGGTTTGAATTATCGAAATATTTACTATCACAATAATATTGCTGTAAAAGAATTGTTGTTTCAATAAATTTCTTAAAGTGGTTTGAATTATCGAAATATTTACTATCACAATAATATTGCTGTAAAAGAATTGTTGTTTCAATAAATTTCTTAAAGTGGTTTGAATTATCGAAATATTTACTATCACAATAATATTGCTGTAAAAGAATTGTTGTTTCAATAAATTTCTTAAAGTGGTTTGAATTATCGAAACATTTACTATCACAATAATATTGCTGTAAAAGAATTGTTGTTTCAATAAATTTCTTAAAGTGGTTTGAATTATTGCAATATTTACTATTACAATAATATTGCTGTAAAAGAATTGTTGTTTCAAATAAATTTCTCGAACTTTGCAAGACTTATTTCGAATTTCATGACAGAAGGCTTTATGTCACCTTAAAGTTTAACATTTTTCTATTTTAAATTTCGATGCTTTGAATTGGTGCATTATTTACTATCACAATAATATGTAAATTTTTGTAAAAGAATTGTTATTTCAAATAAATTTCTCAAATTTCCACTCAGGCGGAAAGATATTATTTCAATTTATAAATTTAACAATTCCGTAAAGCATATTTCACGTTTATTCAATGCTTATTGATGATTTCTTGGTGAAAAATTTGATGAATTCTACATTTTGACAGTGATATCAATTTCACTAATCACTGATAAAGCAAATGACATTATAATATATCAATTGATAAATAAACATTAACAAATGTAAGTCATTACTGATAAGAAATATCAATGATATACGTATGTAAACGCATAATATCAATTTGATAAAAAGTAAGAGTAAAACTAAATTATAGTCAAATATTTGATATAATCATTCCTATTCATCCTTTTTACTCAATCTATTATCACTCTTATCATATCTTATCTTAATCAGCGTTTCATACTGTTATCAAATGATTTCTTAAAATTTTCAATTTCATTAAACAACCATACATTGCATTGAAAAACTAAAGTAACAATGATAATAAGTAAATTATATTAGTTTGCAAATTAAATGAAAGTGAAGGAAATATTATCATATCAGATCGATAATATTTGCTATAATTTGCAAATTTGAA